TGACCCCGAGTATACTTCCAAAGTTGTGACAAAATGGCTTAAGGACAACAGAGTCAAGGTATTGGAATGGCCATCACAAAGCCCTGACCTCAATACTATAGAAAATGTGTGGGCAGAACTGAAAAAGCATGTGCGAGCGAGCAAGGAGGCCTACAAACATGACTGAGTTACACCAGCTCTGTCAGGAGGAATGGGCCAAAATTCACCCAACTTATTGTGGGAAGCTTGTGGAAGGCTACCCGAAACATTTGACCCAAGTTAAACAATTTAAAAGGCAATGCTACCAAATACTAATTGAGTGTATGTAAACTTCTGACCCACTGGGAATATGATGAAAGAAATAAAAGCTGAAATAAATCATTTTCTCTACTATTATTCTGACATTTCACATTCTTAAAATAAAGTGGTGATCCTAACTGACCTAAGACAGGGAATTTTTACTAGGATTAAATGTCAGGAATTGTGAAAAACTGAGTTTAAAAGTATTTGGCTAAGGTGTATGTAAACTTCCGACTTCAACTGTATATACAGTGGGTATTGAAAGTCACCACCCCCTTTCAAAATGTTGACCTTTTGTTGCCTTACAGCCTGAAATGAAAACACATAAAATCAGACTTTTTCCAGCTTTATTTACACACAGTAACCCACAATATTCAAGTGGGGGAAAAAATCTAAAGAAATGAAAATGATTTACAATTAAAACTGTAAAATACCCTATTTGGACAAGTGAACTCCCCCCACCCCAATTGCAAACTTGCTGAGGTATACTCAACCACCTTCCAGATAACAAATCAAGCTAATTGTCTTCCAACTGTGATCAATTGTAGTGACTTTGATTAGTTCAGAATAAAAGCAGTTGTTCATAGAGGACTCCACTGCTTAGTAGTGCAATTCAAAGCAAAGAATCCACTATGGGCGGAATGGTACTTTCAAAAGATCTACGAGATAAAGTTGTGGAAAGGCACAAGTCAGGGGATGGATATAAAAAGATTTCAAAGGCTTTGTCTATCCCTCGGAGCACAGTTAAGACCATTATTAAGAAGTGGAAGGTGTATGGCAGAATAGATCAGGCCGTCCCTGAAAAAAACTCTCCTCAAAAAAGGCAACATCAAGTCTCGTTTGAGCTTTGCCAAAAAGCACATTGTAGATTCTGAGGCCAAGTGGCAAAAGGTGCTGTGGTCAGATGAGACCAAAATTGAACTTTTTGGCCTGAACGCTAAAACGTTATGTCTGTCGAAAACCCAATACATCTTTCCACCCAAAGAACACCATGCCTACTGTAAAGCACAGCGGTGGCAGCATCCTGTTCTGGGGGTGTTTCTTTTCAGCAGGGACTGGAGCACTTGTCAGGATAGAAAGGAAAATGGACAGTGCAAAATACCGACAGATGCTTGAGGAGAACCTGCAGCCCTCTGTCAGGAAGTTGAAAATGGGAAGATGGTTCACGTTTCAACATGACAATGACCCAAAGCACACTGCATAAGCAACCGTACAGTGGCTGAAGGACAAGAAGGTGAATGTCCTTGAGTGGCCTAGTCAGAGCCCCGACCTAAATCCCATCAAGAATCTGTGGAATGCTTGAAGAGTGCAGTCCATGAGCGGTCACCATGCAATTTGACTGAGCTTGAACAATTCTGCAAGGAAGAATGGGCAAATATTGCACAGTCTAGGTGTGCAAAGTTAGTAGAGACGTATTCAAAGAGACTCATGGCTGTAATTCAAGCAAAAGGTGGTTCCACCAAGTATTAACTCAAGGGGTGTTCACTTATCCAAATAGGGTATTTTACTGTTTTAATTGTAAATCATTTTCAGTTTTTTAGATTTTTTTCCCCACTTGGATATTACGTGTTACTGTGTATAAATAAAGCCAGGAAAAAGTCTGATTTTATGTGTTTTCATTTCAGGCTGTAAGGCAACAAAAGGTGAACATTTTGAAAAGGGGTGGTGACTTTCTATACCCACTGTATATACACACACACACACAGTATCTGCTTTCTAATATAGGCGGTACTACGGTACTGCACTAAAACTGTCTCAAATATCTCATCTGTACTTCAGAACCAAAAAGTTGTGTGTCTTGATTGTTGACTAATGACCAGCCATCAGCACTGGCATGAAAAGGGGGGCAGGCATACCCAGATTAGTGACACAGAAAGCACTTGTTTCATTTCCTACAGTTTTGCCTGACAAAAACAGAGTAGGCCATCTAGATTATCCATATAAAATACAGTTTAGAAACGTACTACCGAGGCATCTTCCCCAGAACAACAATAGGCTACTGGCTAGATGTCTAAAGATAGCTGTGACATCACACTGCCTTTAATATTATTGGATGAAGATGGAACATTCTGGAAAATTAATGACAGTATGTGTGAGGAAGAAAAGGGCTAGCCAGATAGCAACGAGCATTCTGCGGGCAGGCGGCCTTCCAATGTAATAGTGTGTGGTGCAGACACACCATGCTTTCCAGGCGGTAGGCCTTATGATGCCGCTTGCTCTGGGGCATCAAGCAACAATTACTACCATAGGCCTACTGGTCTTTTGTTATTTCAAAATTGCTTGAAATGTATCATTCACTTATGACGCTTGCATTTGGAATTAGTTCAAATCAATTATTACGTCATAAAATATGTTGCAGACAAAATAATGAAAAGGGCTGTCTGGTTCTTCAATAAGTAGACAAAGATTTGTAGTTGAACAAGTCATTGCCTGTATAGATAATTTTTTTCACTTGACTTGAGACTTGACTTGAAAAAGCTTGACTCAACTAGACTTGCTCTTAGAATGGACGACTTGGACTTGACTCAAGATTCGACCCGTTCCACTTGGGACTCGACTTGAGACTCAGACCTTGTGACTGGAGACTTGCTTGTGACTTGAATAATAGTGACTTGGTCCCACCTCTGCTCCTTAGTATAGTGGCAAGGAAACAAAACACCATGCGGATTTAACTTATTTAGGAAAACAGCCCTAATGTTGGAAACCAACATCATTATGTTGTCATCCTGAGTCACATTTTTTATTTTCCAAGCTATAGCACACAATATTTTAGATACAGTAGGTTTTTAAAGGACCAAAGAGTTTTTATCTGCATAGTGTTTTCATTTTTTACCATGGAAGAATTATCGCGATACTGGTATCGTCCTGGCCCTGGTAAAAACAGGAGCAGACAGTAAAATTATGTATTTATTGGGAGAAGATGAATAAAAAGTAGGCCTAAACAGCCTGTGGCAGCGACAGCAAGTTTGAGGAGTCTTTTCTTGTTGAGTACAATTTAAGACCTTGATGAGGCTGAGTACCAGGCTGCTGGTTCATATTTCTAGAAATAAACAAATATCAGCTGCATGAACATGCATGCATTGTGTGTGGCAGCGGTCTAAGGCACTGCATCTCAGTGCTTGAGGCTTCACTACAGACCCCCTGGTTCGATTCCAGGCTGGCGTCGTCCGGGTTTGGCCGGTGTAGGCCGTCATTGTAAATAAGAATTTGTTCTTAACTGACTTGCCTAGTTAAATAAATAAAAAACATAGGCAGCACTATGATTAATATGTAAATCAGCATTAATATGAATATACTGTAAGTCGCGCTAGATAAGAGCGTCTGCTAAATGACTCAAATGCATTGCAATTGGACAGTAGGCCTATCTGAGAATTAAAGCCCACACTGACTGACGCATTCTTTCCAGCTAATTGGCTGTAAACATTGACAAACATTGTTTGCCTCTCATAATAAAGCAAACTAGTTAATATATGCATTACAACCGGCTACTTAATCCTAGCTTTTCAATTCGCCCATCATATCAGTGTTGTCCATCCACAGGCCTGAACTACGATGTGCATCGTATCAGTTGAATGCACCTTGCCTCCGCCGCCTGAATAAATGATCAGATGGGCCCTCTCGCTTACAGCGTTTGTTCCCAGATGGCGATTTTGTTGTGTAGACTTATGTACAGCAAATGCCTCCCAGACAGTATTGTCATTCATTAATGCTGAATAAGTCAATATCACTTTAATTACATATGCACAGAACATGTTATCTGCAGTCGTGACTGCGGGAGACGATTGTTAGTTAGCTAAATAACGTTTCATTAAAGAAAATCGTTTTATTTCGGAACACAATACCATAAAGAGGTTGGCAAGCTAAAACGGGTAACTATATTATGTTAGCGCATGGGGAAAATAAAGCCGTAGCAGATGTAGTTAACTACATAGCTAGTTATCCATTCATAATTTCGAGAAAGTTGTAGAACAAGCCTTGCTTGCACGCCTCGCATCACTAGTTAGCTAGCTAGCATCGTCAGCTTACTAGTTCATCTTTTTAGTAAATCGAACTGTCTGGCATTTTAACACACCCCAAGTGTTGTCACACCCAAGTGTTTTTACCGTACTTAGATTCAAAAACAAAATACATTATTTTAGTTAAAGTGTATCTTAGCCCATATGTCAATATGTTTGTTCATTTATTTAGTAAACAACGACGGAACATGGCATGACATGTTCAGCTATGTTAGCCATTATGCTAGCTACAACGTTTACTGCATTTTTGTTGTTGTTGTTGTTGAAGCAATATAATCATTTCCAAATAAAAAGCAACCTTACCCTTCTTAAACAATGTAATATATTAGCCACTGCAAATCCACGTTGACTTGATGTTTCGCTTTCAAACCCAGCTATTTCGTCTGATGTAAATGTCCAGTCAGTCGGTGAACAGCTTTTCCCGCAACAGTGAGAGCTACAGTACCTGACGTCATCTCACGACACTGTCATGTGCTGCTGTTTGTGGGAATCACCAATTTATACTGATAAGGGCTATTTAATTGATAACAAATTACATACACTATATTGAGTGTACTGTAATTTTGATGTCCCTACAATATGACTAGAGTCATGTCTGAAACATTGATCCATACATTTGGGTGTATCAGAATGAATACCTTATCTTGAATTTAGTGGTGTGCACTGTACCATGCATATAATAACACATTACATTCACCACTAAGGTTAAAAATAAGTCATATTTTTATTATGAAACCACAGGTTTGCTTTGCCTACATCCACTGTCAAAATGTATTTTGCTGTGCATATTGGAAGCACCATTTTGATATAAATTATCTTGAATTTGCTTGCTAGGAAATTGTAGCTAAAATAGCATTTATACACAAACATAAATGTTCTGTTTTACATATGTTCTACACATTTACTGCAGGACAGTCTTGACTCAATATATATATTTACACTGGTATATCTGCTGTCCTCTAGTATAAAGCATTTCACTGTAAAACCCTTGCAAATTTAGTTACATTAAACTAAGGATCCATAGTTCCCATTTCCCAGCAAGTCATTATTTCACAAAGGAAATAGGGCTAAGTTGAGAGCATTCAATAACTCTATGGATTTCCTTGTCTCCATTGTTACTTCAATCTGTACTGCTGAACTCCTAACTTTTGTTTTGCAATAATATTTTCCTCCCCAAACATTCCACTAGTCTATATCTCCCTGTTCCCTGTCCCCTTGTCTATTGCCAGTCTGATGTCAGACAGTCTCCCATACATCCAGCATAGTGTGGTGGTTACTGGTGGTGTCGACTCCTTATAAGGTTGTCCAGCTCTGTCTTGTTGATGGTGCCGTAGGCCTGAGAGTAGCTGCCCAGTTTGGCACGGGGATCCCCGGCCGCCGCCATGTTGGCGTTACGCTGGAAAACCTTCTTACTGAACCTGGGAGGAGGGGGCCGTGCCTCTCGTGTCTGGGACCGCTGGTTCTATATTTAACCCCCAAAAAGAACCACATAGAGAGAAAATATGGGTTAGAGGGGGAGACTTCAAACTGTTATGAGGGGGAATATGGGACAAGTCCTTTACATCAAAATGTAGGCTACAATGTAAAAACATATCACAGCTGGCAGCTGAGTTCCCTGCTCCCAACAGGGTGATTATGAAACAGTGGAAAAGTACACATTACAGAACATGATTTATGGCATTGACATAAAGTCTTCTCAATAGTGGCAGCAGCAACAGTTTATGAGATCATAGAGTATGAGTTTGTTAAAGTAGCAAGGCAAAGTCCACTCACCAGGCGTGCTGAGGTGACGCATATCCCTGAGGACACAGAGGGCTCGTCTCTGCAGACCAGCGGGTTGTTCTGGGGGTGGGAGAGGGTCAGGGAGAAGGAACGGTTATGGCTGACAGGTGCTGAGCGTCCGCGCTGCAGAATCTGCTCCATAGACTGACAGATGGGAAAAGAGAGAGAGATATTATGACATAAATAAATCTCCATGCATGTATATTTAGCAGTGGACACTGAAAATAATTTGTTGTGCTGCCTAGTGATCAACACAACGGCTCACATATCTACAGTCTCTGTCTGCAATACACACAACTAAAACGCTTGTCTATCCAGTAGTCTGTATTGGAAACATTCAAGGTGTTAGCTGAAGGTTGCGTCAGTCTGAATGTTTGGAATTGTGTGTAGTTTAAACTATTCTCTTGTATTCTGCTATTAACAAGTGACGCTGCAACTAATCACTGAAGGTCTTAGTACAAGGACACACTGATGATTTGCACAAACACGTCACGTACACACATACAGGTAGCTGCCAAAATAAAGGAAACACAAAACATTGTTTCTTAATATTGCGTTGGGCTACCACAGCTTCAATGCACCTTGGCATAGATTCTACAAGTGTCTGGAACTCTATTGGAGGGATGCGACACCATTCTTCCACAATAAATTCCATAATTTGGTGTTTTGTTGATGGTGGTGGAAAGCGCTGTCTCAGGCGCCGCTCCAGAATCTCCCATAAGTGTTGTATTGGGTTGAGATCTGGTGGCTGAGACGGCCATGGCATATGGTTTACATCGTTTTCATGCTCATCAAACCATTCAATGACCACTCATAATAATTTGTGGGGGGGGTGCTTATATTTGTCTTTTAACACACATTTTTTGCATATCCCAACTCCTCCTGAGACACCCACAGTGAGTGGGATCACGGCCAGGGTCACCATTGTAAATGCCTTGCTCAAGGGCACAGCGGCAGATTTTCACCTGGTCGGCTCTGGGATTTGAACCAGTAGCCTTTTGGTTACTGGCCCAACACTCTAACCTCAAGGCTATACCTGCCACCCCCGTGCCATGTGGATGGGGGCATTGTCATCCTATGGGGGCATAGCCTTGGTAGCCAAAATAATTGCCAAAATAATGGCCGGCCCAGCATTTTACTACATGACCCTAAGCATGATGGGATGTTAATTGCTTAATTAACTCAGGAACCACATCTGTGTGGAAGCACCTGCTTTCAATATACTTTGTATCCCTCCTTCACTCAAATGTTTCCATTATTTTGGTAGTCATTTGTAGGTATTGTATTACATCATGTATCTCAAGAGGATATAAAATGAGTGATTTATTTGTTGTTGATTTATGTTCTCTTGTTGCAGCTTATATTGTATTAAATGTGATCTGTTATATCTGTTGTAACTAAACTCTTTTCTGGGACCTGAGTTTTTCCCTATTGCTGTGGTACTTACAACTAAGTTTTTCTTATGACAGTGGTACTTACAAAAGCTTTGCCGTTAACGCCCTCTGCTGGCGGTACAATTACATTTTCATCACGCGTCTGTTGCTCCAGTTTCCTGCTGGCAGTACCAGAGCGAAAATAGTGAGCTGGTCCAGCCAGACTTCTAACAAAACCATCTGCATGAGAGAAAGAGAAGACAAATACCATTAGAAAGTATGTGTCTGTGTTTATGAAGTATGAAGGTGTGTATATGAAGTCTGGAGGTGTGTGTATGAAGTATGAAGGTGTGTGTATGAAGGTGTGTGTATGAAGTATGAAGGTGTGTGTATGAAGTATGAAAGTGTGTGTATGAAGTATGAAGATGTGTGTATGAAGTATGAAGATGTGTGTATGAAGTATGAAGATGTGTGTATGAAGTATGAAGATGTGTGTATGAAGTATGAAGGTATGTGTATGAAGTATGAAGGTGTGTGTGAATGTGAATGTGAATGTGGGGGACCACATGTGTGTGTTAGTGTACTCACTGGCAACGTGTGTGATGGGATTATATGTAGTCTTTCCCATGACGGGGCTAGCTGCAGGGCTGGTCTTCTCCAGGGCCGGCAGGGTGGACACAGGTACTGGTGTGGGTATGGTGATAACTGGACGAGCAGCCTGGTGTTCTGTCTTATCATGAGGGGATTTAACCCCAAGGTCCCCTCCACCATCACCAGCCACTGGGACTGGCTCCGGACCACCTTTGTTCTTCCCATTGGGCCTTTCCTTCCCATGGTCTCCACGGTCACACCCAGACCCAGACCCAGAGCCAGACCCAGAGACCGGCTCCTCTTTCTTCCTCGGCCTGGGCTGGACATGACGTAGCGTTCTCCTTGTGGTCCTCTTCTCTAGAATCATCTTTTCCACAGGACAGAGATAAAAAAGGGACAGAGAAGATTCCTTATAGATACTGTGCCTTTTTTCAGTCGTTAATAAAACATGTATATTGTCATAAAGGACTTAGTTTAACACTCTATGCAAAAAAAAATATATGGGGAATTGGAAGTGATGCAGACAATTACATTGATGGAAGTTGCAATCTATCTGCAATATTAAAGCTGTTCTACCCCTTAAGAAAAATAAATAAAGAATAACAATAATAATAATACTATTAGTAACTATGAAACAATTGGCAGTAATGGTCTACCCTAAGCCAACCAAACACGAGACAGGTGTTCATCATCCTCCCTCCCCTCAGTATTACCTTGTACAGTTTGTTGCGGTACTGAACCACCGACAACTGGACATCATCATCCACAGGCAGGATCACGGCATAGTCCAGACCTGGCTCCTTGGCTGGGTTGTGGAATCTCCAGTGAAATTAAGGGGAAAAACACAAAGACATAACACAACACAAATAGAAAAGAAAGACATCGTTAATTCCAAGACTAGCCCTACTCAGCATAGTGCATTACTTTTGGCCAGGGCCCAAGTCAAAGGAAGTGCCCTATGTAGGGAACAGGGTGCCATTTGGGATGCAAACTATATAACAAAAATGAACGGCATTGGCATCATAAAAGGATTAGAGCATTGTGTCATCAAACCAGCTTCCCTTGCCCTTTGGGGTCTAGGCTGGGTTACTCTTTGTGACAACTGCTGATTTAAAAAGGGACACGATTGATAACCAGCCTATAGCCTATAAAAGCTTGTATAAAGCACATTGCACTACATTTTAATGTATGAGATGTGCTGTATAAATACAATTAGATTGGATGTGATTTCTACGCTACCTGGAGACGTAAAGGTGTTGCAGGGCCTGCTCAGCGGTCAGCCTTTTGTCTGGGTTGAACACCAGCAGGCGACACACCAGGTCTAGGGCATCAGGGGGCACCGAAGGCTGCAGAAGATCCTCTAGAGGCTCCTGGGGCCTGGCCACGCAGACAGACAAATACAGACAGAGTGCAGCATCGTGAATAAATCGAGAGCTTGCGACTATAAGGTTCTATCTGCAAAAAGATGATTCTGAGATAATTGGCTTTAACGTTCTGAACCCTCATTGGTTTGAATGGTGTCAGCAATTTTTATCTTGTATTCTTTTGAACTTAACAACATTAATTGGGGGTATTTAGAGTACTATATAGATAGTGAACAATGAACAGAACAAGGCTATGTCAATAACTCAATTTTGACAAAAATGCAGATAGGACCTTTTAGTCCCAAGCTCTCAAAATGTCTCAAAATGTCTCGACATATTTACTTCTGTAGGACTTCCACTACGACTTACCTCAGTAGCATCCTCTGAATCACAGAGGCACCATACTCGGATCTGATAGAAAGTATGTCTGAAAACAAAATCACATATCTTTACTTTAGTCAGTTAACTTGGTCAGTTAGGGGCATAAAAGCTTGATTCCACCACTAGTGCTCAACAAGCAAATAGCACACTCTGTTTTCTGTGAACTGTGCAGCCAGGACTTAATACTCACCCTCTGGGCTAGGGTGTGGAATGGTACTCATGATTTTCTCTATCTGGTTGATGGTGGAGGTTCCAGGGAAAAGGGGCTGCCCAAGCAGCATCTCTCCTAGGATACAACCTATACTCCACATGTCCACACCCTTTGTGTACCTATAGGATAAATCAAAGTATTTAAGTGATTTCACAGACACTGACAGGTTTCTGCATGAATACTTACCTTCCCATTATGTGCATTATTTTATCAGAAACAAATGTTAACACTAAATCAAGAAAACCGTTCACTCTTTCAGATATGTATTCAAGCCTGAAGGAGTGGCTCAGTTTATTGAGAAACATACAGCAGGTCCCAGTGCATGTGTACCTTGAGGAGCCCAGCAGGATCTCAGGAGGTCTGTACCACCGCGTCGCCACATACTCTGTCAGCGCCGGGTTTCCAGCATCCTCCTGGATCTGGTAGAGAGATCTTGCTAAACCGAAGTCACACAGCTTCACAAAGCAATCCGTGTTAAGCAGAATATTGGACGGCTGTGTGAAGAGGAAAGCCAATTCAGCCATGTCATCCAAATCGTTTTTCCTCCAGAAAAACAGAAGAATTAGATAGCGTTACCCATACTAGTGGCACCAGCGCATCTGCAAATGCAATAATGTCATATTCTCAACAAGCACACTTCTTAGTACACTGGCAATTTAAACATTCTAACTGTACCTTCTGGTCTCTGTGGATGACATTGCCTGAGTGCAGGTATTTGGTGGCCTTGAGGAGTTGATACATGACATAGCGTTTATGGATGTCTTTCAGCAGGTTGCCTTTCTTTATCACTGCATGCAGGTCGGTGTCTGCAACACACAAATGGTAAAAACAGTAATAACCAACAGGAATCATCCAGCATTGAACATTAATCCATACCACACTCAGAATAATGGCACTTTGAAAACATCTTTCTATAAAACACTCAATGAATAACAAACCAGACACAACACGTTTCCCATAAACAATCTACACACTCCTGCAGTGCCCCCAAAATTAGCCAGGGTAGGACAAAGGAGCCATTTTCCATGGTGGGTGTGCCTGGGATGCTGGCCCACACTCAGAGATCAGAGAGCAGTCCAATGTGTGGACTCAGCAGGCATCGCAGGCAGCCAAGAGGAGAAGAGACCTCCCCCCCACCCCTCCCTCTGGTGCCAGATTTAAACTGCTGAATAACCTTGCAGCTTGCCTGCCTACATTCTTTCTGTGTTGTTATTTCATAATGTCCGACCCCATCAAATTTAGCACAGGGTAGGTGGCCAATAATAAATACAGTGGGAAAGCCCTGAAAATTGTTTTTTTGGGGGTATCAGGGTGATTTCGACCATCAAGAGTCGTCGATGCAAGCATCTTGCATGTATATCTGTTATTATTAATAGCCATGTCATATTATACAGCGTGCTACCATTTCACATATCACGACAATCCTCAAGTAAACCGACAAAAGATTCAAAATGGATGTCAATAGACAATCCACATAAGAGTCCTCACCCATGTATTCAAAGACCAGGTAAATATCTTTGTCATTTTGAGCTCTGATGACGTTCAGCAGTTTGACGATGTTGGCATGATCTCCAAACTCCTGCAGGGAGAAACACATAACAGTTTGAAAAATACACACACACACACACAGTCCTCAAAGACCACCGTAAATGAATTAAATCAATGATATGACCGAACACGCCCCTATTCACATCGACAGGGCTGTAGTGGAGCGGGTCGAGAGTTTCAAGTTCCTTGGTGTCCACATCACCAACAAACTATCATGGTCCAAACACACCAAGAAAGTCGTGAAGAGGGCACTACAACGTCTTTCCCCCCTCAGGAGACTGAAAAGATTTGGCATGGGTCCCCAAATCCTCAAAAAGTTCTACAGCTGCACCATCTCGAGCATCCTGACCGGTTGTATCACCGCCTGGTGTGGCAACTGCTCGGCATCCGACCGTAAGGCACTACAGAGGGTAGTGTGTACAGCCCAGTACATCACTGGGGCCAAGCTTCCTGCCATCCAGGACCTACAGTGCATTCGGAAAGTATTCAGACCCCTTTCCTTTTTCCACATTTTGTTACGTTTCAGCCTTATTCTAAAAATGATTGAATTGGAGTCCACCTGTGGTAAATTAAATTAATTGGAAATGATTTGGAAAGGCACACACCTGTCTATATAAAGGTCCCACAGTTTTTGTATTTCGTATTTATTAAGGATCCCCATTAGCTGCTGCCAAGGCAGCAGCTACTCTTCCTGGGGTCCTGCAACATTAACATTTACATTTACATTTTAGTCATTTAGCAGACGCTCTTATCCAGAGCGACTTACAGGAGCAATTAGGGTTAAGTGCCTTGCTCAAGGGCACATTTACGTCATTTAGCAGACGCTCTTATCCAGAGCGACTTACAAATTGGTGCATTCACCCTATAGCCAGTGGGATAACCACTTTACACTTTTTTTTTTTTTGGGGGGGGGGGGGGGGGGGTAGAAGGATTACTTTATCCTATCCCAGGTATTCCTTAAAGAGGTGGGGTTTCAAATGTCTCCGGAAGGTGGTGAGTGACTCCGCTGTCCTGGCGTCGTGAGGGAGCTTGTTCCACCATTGGGGTGCCAGAGCAGCGAACAGTTTTGACTGGGCTGAGCGGGAACTATGCTTCCGCAGAGGAAGGGGAGCCAGCAGGCCAGAGGTGGATGAACGCAATGCCCTCGTTTGGGTGTAGGGACTGATCAGAGCCCGAAGGTACGGAGGTGCCGTTCCCCTCACTGCTCCATAGGCAAGCACCATGGTCTTGTAACAGATGCGAGCTTCAACTGGAAGCCAGTGGAGTGTGCGGAGGAGGGGGGTGACGTGAGAGAACTTGGGAAGGTTGAACACCAGACGGGCTGCGGCATTCTGGATGAGTTGTAGGGGTTTAATGGCACAGGCAGGGAGGCCAGCCAACAGCGAGTTGCAGTAATCCAGACGGGAGATGACAAGTGCCTGGATTAGGACCTGTGCCGCTTCCTGTGTAAGGCAGGGTCGTACTCTCCGAATGTTGTAGAGCATGAACCTGCAGGATCGGGTCACCGCCTTGATGTTAGCGGAGAACGACAGGGTGTTGTCCAGGGTCACGCCAAGGCTCTTCGCACTCTGGGAGGAGGACACAACGGAGTTGTCAACCGTGATGGCGAGATCATGGAACGGGCAGTCCTTCCCCGGGAGGAAGAGCAGCTCCGTCTTGCCAGGGTTCAGCTTGAGGTGGTGATCCGTCATCCATACTGATATGTCTGCCAGACATGCAGAGATGTGATTCGCCACCTGGTTATCAGAAGGGGGAAAGGAGAAGATTAGTTGTGTATCGTCAGCGTAGCAATGATAGGAGAGGCCATGTGAGGATATGACAGAGCCAAGTGACTTGGTGTATAGGGAGAATAGGAGAGGGCCTAGAACTGAGCCCTGGGGGACACCAGTGGTGAGAGCACGTGGTGCGGAGACAGCTTCTCGCCACGCCACTTGGTAGGAGCGACCGGTCAGGTAGGACGCAATCCAGGAGTGAGCCGCGCCGGAGATGCCCAGCTCGGAGAGGGTGGAGAGGAGGATCTGATGGTTCACAGTATCAAAGGCAGCAGACAGGTCTAGAAGGACAAGAACACTGTGGCCTCCATCATTCTTCAATGGAAGAAGTTTGGAGCCACCAAGACTCTTCCTAGAGCTGGCCGCCCGGCCAAACTGAGCAGTCGGGGGAGAAGGGCCTTGGTCAGGTAGGTGACCAAGAACCCGATGGTCACTCTGAACCCAAGGACATTAAGGCAGTTATATACAATTTAAAATATTACATGACATTATATTTCATAACACTTTACCAAATACATTTAGTGTGTTCCCTCAGGCCACTACTCCACTATCACATATTTACAATACAACATCCATGTGTACGTGTGTGTAGAGTGAGTGTCTATATGTATGTGTGTATGTACCTGTGTGTGTGTCTCTTCACAGTCCCCGCTGTTCCACAAGGTGTATTTCTACCAGTTTTTTAAAAATCTGATTCTACTGCTTGCATCAGTTACCTGATGTGGAATAGAGTTCCATGTAGTCATGGCTCTATGTAGTACTGTGCGCCTCCCATAGTCCTTTGGGACTGTGAAGAGACCTCTGGTGGCATGTCTTGTGGGGTATGCATGGGTGTCCGAGCTGTGTGCCAGTATTCCAAACAGACAGCTTGGTACATTCAACTCGTCGACACCTCTCACAAAAACAAGCAGTGATGAAGTCAAATCTCTCTTCCACTCTGAGCCAGGAGAGACTGACATGCATGTCATCAATGTTAGATCTCCGTGTACTTTTAAGGGCCAGCCGTGCTGCCCTGTTCTGAACCAACTGCAATTTTCCCAAGTCCCTCTTTGTGGCACCTGCCCAGACTAGGTGCGACAAAACTAGGGCCTGTAGGACCTGCCTTGTTGACAATGCATGTCAGAGCAAAAAACTAACCATGAGGTCAAAGAAATTGTCTGTAGAGCTCCGAGAAAGGATTGTGCCGAGGCACAGTTCTGGGGAAGGGTACCAAAAAATGTCTGCAGCATGAAGGTCCCCAAGAACACTGTGGCCTCCATCATTCTTCAATGGAAGAAGTTTGGAGCCACCAAGACTCTTCCTAGAGCTGGCCGCCCGGCCAAACTGAGCAGTCGGGGGAGAAGGGCCTTGGTCAGGTAGGTGACCAAGAACCCGATGGTCACTCTGACAAAGCTCCAGAGTTCCTCTGTGGAGATGGGAGAACCTTCCAGAAGGACAACCATCTCTGCAGCACTCCACCAATCAGGCCTTTATGGTAGAGTGGCCAGACGGAAGCCACTCCTCAGTAAAAGGCACATGACAGCCTACTTGGAGTTTGCCAAAAGGCACCTAAACGACTCTCAGACCATGAGAAACAAGATTCTCTGGTCTGATGAAACCAAGATTGAATGCCAAGCATCACGTCTAGAGGAAACCTGGCACCATCCCTACGGTGAAGCATGGTGGTGGCAGCATCATTCTGTGGGGATGTTTTTCAGCAGCAGGAACTGGGAGACTAGTCAGGATCGAGGGAAAGATGAACGGAGCAAAGTACAGAGAGATCCTTGATGATGCTACAGAGCGCTCAGGACCTCAGACTGGGGCAAAGGTTCACCTTCCAACAGGACAACAACCCTAAGCACACAGCCAAGACAACGCAGGAGTGGCTTTGGGACAAGTCTCCCCATCCAACCTGACAGAGCTTGAGAGGATCTGCAGATAAGAATGGGAGAAACTCACCAAACAGGTGTGCCAAGCTTGTAGCGTCATACCCAAGAAGACTTGAGGCTGTAATCGCTGTCAAAAGTGCTTCAACAAAGTGTTGAGTAATACATTTACTTATGGAAAAATGTATAAAAAACAGTTTTTACTTTGTCATTATGGGGTATTATGTGTAGATTGGTGAGGGGAAAAAACTATTTAATCCATTTTAGCATTAGGCTGTAACATAACAAAATGTGGAAAAGGTCAAGGGGTCTGAATACTTTCAGAATGCACTGTATATACTAGGCGGTGTCAGAGGAAGGCCCAAAAAATTGTCAAAAGACTCCAGAGCACCAAGTCAAGGTCCAAAAGGCTCCTTAACAGATTCTACCCCCAAGCCATAAGACTGCTGAACAATTAATCAAATGGCTACCCGGACTATTTGCATTGACCCCCCTCTTTGTTTTTACACTGCTGCTACTCACTGTTTATTATCTATGCATAGTCACTTTACCGTTACCTACATGTACAAATTACCTCAACTAACCTGTACCCCCGCACATTGACTCGGTACCGGTATCCCCTGTATATAGCCTCATTATTGTTATTTTATTGTGTTACTTTTTTTAGTTCATTTTTTAAAGCTTTAGTTTATTTAGTAAATATTTTCTTAAGTAAGCATTTCATGGTAAGGTCTACACCTGTTGTATTCGGTGCATGTGACAAATAAAATTGGATTTGATTTGACTACAAAAGGGAGAATCTTCTTAGGGATAGTGACATAACAGTCTAGGTGGTGTTGGAGTGGGTCAATGTTTAGATGCTATGTAATGTAAACCGTCTAGAGACTGGGGTGCCAGTGTTTCTGTGGGAGATAGTAATAGCCTTATTATGGACATTCACACACAGCTTAAGGCCCTGGCCTCTGTTTTCCCTGGCCAAAGTGGATGGTGGAGACTGGAGACCAATAAAAGCGGACCACACTGTTTGCTTGTCCCGTGTGACCAGTTTTCTATCCACTTTCATGAGGTCAGAATATACACTACCGGTCAAAAGTTTTAGAACACCTACTCATTCAAGGGTTGTTCTTTATTTTTACTATTTTTTACATTGTAGAATAATAGTGAAGACATCAAAACTATGAAATAGCACATATGGAATCATGTAGTAACCAATAAAGTGTTAAACACTTATATTTGAGATTCTTCAAATAGCCACCCTTTGCCTTGATGACAGCTTTGCACACTCTTGGCATTCTCTCAACCAGCCTCACCTGGAATGCTTTTCCAACAGTCTTGAAGGAGTTCCCACATATGCTGAGCACTTGTTGGCTGCTTTTCCTTCACTCTGCCGTCCGACTCATCCCAAACCATCT